GTGGTGCTGGGGATTGAACCGCGGTCCCTGTGCTTTGCTAAGCTTGTTCTCAGTAGGTGCTTTTGAGCCATCTCACCAGCCCCAATGGACTAGTGTTTCTTTCTTGGGCCCCAGCATTCTGCTGAGGGAGCCAAATCAGGGTTGAGGGGCTGGGACTCATGGGAGGGCCTCCCTTTGCAGTGGACGGACCTCCCATGCAGGCTTCTGCTCATGTGTCTTGCCCTCCGAAGAGGCCCAGCAAAATGGGGTTTGATGAGGTGAGCGCCACAACCTGTGGGACTGGGCCGGGGTGGATGGGCACTCCCCTCCCCTCCCCTGCAGCCAGCCCCTGCCCTCCAGGTCTTTGTCATCAGCCTGGCCCGCAGGCCTGGCCGCCGCCAGCGTATGCTGAGCTCGCTCTGGGAGATGGAGATCTCAGGACGTGTGGTGGATGCTGTGGATGGTCGGTAAGGCCTCCAGGGAGGTGGCCCTGGGGTGCTGTGGTCCCTTTCTGAGCTCCTATAGTCTGCAGGGCAGAGGGGGTAAATGAGGTTCCTGTTCCAGGAGGCAGCCAAATAGAGCCTTCGTGAGCTGGGAGGGATAGGCCCTGCACCTGAGAGGCTGAGGCAGGAGGGTTGCTGCAAGTTCAGAGTGATAGAGTTCAAGGCCAGCCTGACCTACGCAAAGTGAGACCCTGTCTCAACAAACAAACAAACAAACAAGCAAAAACCCAAACTGTCTGAATTGTGCTTCCTTAGGGAGTTCTGGACAGACAGATGTAGGACAGACATGCTATCCTCCCTCAGCCCGCTGGAGGGAGATGGGGCATCACGACCAGCTATGTGCCCCCGGGCATGTCGGCCCCATTATGGAAGTGGCCAGTGACCCTCCTTCCTGTGTTTTCCTCCTGGCACCAGTATCCTCAGTCTTCTCTGCCCCCACCCTAGACTTAGGTCCCTTAGGGGGCTGGGGTTCAGCCACTCTGTTGTCCTGGGGACCCAGGCCAGGTCGCTCTAGCCGCCAGGATCATGTGGCCCCTGAATCTACCAGTGTCATTACACCCCGGCCCCACCCCCCTTTTTCCGTTCTGGGGATTGAACATAGGGCCTTCTCACTGAGCTACACCCCCAGCACTTTATTCGTTTTGAGATGAGCTGTTAACTTGCCCAGG